AAAAAAAAAAAAAAAAAAAAACCAATGGAACTTATTGAAAGATTTAGCATCATGGCAAAATACAAAATCAACATTCAAAAATCAGTTGGATTCCTCTACACCAGGAAAGAGATTGCTGAAAAAGATATGAGGAAATCAATATCATTTACAATAGCTACCAAAAGTAAATAAATAAATAAATAAACTTGGGAATAAATCTTACCAGGGACACAAACAAAGTTGTTCAAACAAAGTAAACTACAAAAGACTATTTCAAGAAACCATTAGAGATCTACATAAATGGAAGAACATACCATGCTCGTGGATGGGAAGATTGAACATTGTGAAAACGTGAATTCTACCGAAAGTAATAGATCCCATCAACATTCTTTAAGGACATGGAAAAACTAATCCTTAACTTTATGTGGAAAGGAAAGAGATCTCAAATAAGCAAAGCACTATTGAAGAAGAAGAACAAAGTAGGAGGTCTCACACTCCCGGATCTCAAAACCTACTATACAGCCACAGTAGTCAAAACTGCCTGGTATTGGTACAACGACAGACCCCCAGAACACAATGGAATAGAACTCTGAACCCAGAAATTGATCCATCAACCTATGGTCAGGTGATCTTTGAAAAAGAGCTGAAATCCATTAAATAGGGAAGAGATAGTCTGTTTAACAAAGGGTGCTGGCAAAACTGGCTATCCATTTGCATAAAAATGAAGCAAGATCTGTATCTCACACCATACACAAAAACTAACTCCCAATGGATCAAAGACTTAAATGTGAAACTTAAAACGATGAAGTTCCTCAAGAAAAAGCTAGGGGCAAATTTAGGGAACCTAATATACGGCATAAACAGAGTATCAAGCATAACTGAAAATGCACAAACAGCCGAAGATAATCTAGATGAATGGGACCTTCTAGAAATTAAGTTTTTATGTACTTCCAAAGACCTCTCCAAAAGAGTAAAAAGAGTAAAAAATTGGGAAAAAATATTTGGCAATGACGTATCTGACAAGCAAGTTATCTCTAAAATTTATATAAAATTTCAATACCTCAACAACAAAAACACAAATAATCCAAGTGAAAAAATGGGAAGAAGACAAAGAAGATATTAGGCAGTCAACAAATATATAAAGAAATATTTACAGTCATTAGCCATTACAGAGATGCAAATCAAAACAACAATGAGATACCATCTTATCCCAGCACTAGTAGCACAGTTCAACAAGACAAAAATTAACAAATGCTGGTGAGGATGTGGAGAGATTGGGATTCTCATACACTGCTGGTGGGACTGTCACTGTCAAATGGTACAACCACTGTGGAAAGCAATATGACGATTCTTTAAAAAGTTGGAATTAGAAATACCATTTGATTCATCAGTTCCATTACTAGGTATATATCCTAACGAAGTGAGAGCCAGGACAAGAATAGATATATGCACCCTTAGGTTCATTGTAGCAATATTTACAATAGCAAAAGAGATGGAAACATCCTATATGCCCATCAACAGAAGAATGGATAACCAAAGTATGGTACACACACTCAATGGAATACTACGCAACACTTAGGAATAATGTAGAATCTGCAAAACAGCTTATGATGTGGATGAACTTGGAGGACATTATGCTGAGTGAAATAAGTCAATTACAAATGGACAAATATTGTGTTAGTTCACTATTGTAAAAAGTCTAGGAAAGGTTTCTATATGGAAGGAAATTTTCCTTGTTGGTTACCAAAGATGGGAGGGAAGGGGAGGTGCTAGATAGGTAGAGACAATTACTGATTTTAGTGAAGGGAATGGCAATGTATCAAATGTGAGTGATCAACACAGTGGCTTTGAGGAAGAGGAAGACATAGAGTGGTACATGGGAAGTACAGACAACAAAGATGAACCCTTTTGCACATACAATACTGTGTTGTCAGTCATGGCAATCACTGATATAGATATAAGGGTAGATAGATGGGTGGACAGTCTGAACAATCAAGTATGTCTATGCAGGGAGGAGTGTGCCCATGACCATGTGTAGGGTTTGCAGACAATGTTTCTTCAAGTGTATTTGTATGTCTTGTAGGAGTGTCTAGGTATATAGTAGAGCTGACAAGGGAGAAGGTTCTAGTCACTTCTTGGCCACAGCCAGCTACCCAGAGGGAGCAAGTAGTTGGGCCTGTGGACTCAGGATGATGGTTACAAGGAACATCAAGTTCAATTGGTATAATATACTACACAAAAACATTGTTCCATACCCTACTTTGGCAAGCAGTGACTGGGATCTTAAAAGCTTGCAAGTGGCCACCTAGATGCAACGATGGGTCTTTACTCATCCAGAGCTACCACTGTCAACCACTCAGAAGGGGATCTGTGTTTGAGATATAGGATAGAGTGGGAGAAAAACATGGAACAAAACTCAAAATCATTTTAAAAAAAAAAAAAGGACCAAATTTGCTGGTGTTATAGAGCCTAGTGAAACCCCTGAGACTATGCCTCCTAGCTACCCTTCAGATCTGAAATTGAACACTTTCCTGTGGCTTCCATCCAAACAAAAGACAGGCATATGAACTAAGCATTTACATTAGATAGCTACAACTCCTTGGAGAGATCAATCATTGGAGAATAGAAGGGCTGTGTATGTACTTGGAGACAGCTCAGGGGGCAGGAGTGCATGGGAAGGAAGGACACAGGGAAGAGGTGGCTGTGGGGAGGAAATGGGAAGAGAGCTGTTGCATTGTGGGACATAATATCATGAGACAAAGTGTATGTGAACTTCTGTATGAAAAATGAATTTACTCTGTGAGTTTTCACCCAAATCACAATAAAAATTTTTAAAAAAGAAAAAAGAAGAGAAGTTGGCCAGATTTTGTGTCAAGTACTATAGTCATGTTGTCAGAAAGGGGCAGTCCTTAGAGAAGGATATTGTGCTTGGTAAAGGAGAGGGTCAGAAGAAAATGGAAGACCCTCAATGAGATGGAATGACAGTTGCTGCAAGGATGGGCTGAAGCATAGCAATGATTGTGAGGATGGTGCAGGACTGGGTAATGTTTTGTTTTGCTGTACATAATGTTGCTGTGAGTTGGACCTGACTTGATGGCAGCTAACAACAATATATTATGGCTTTGGCACCCTGAAGCAACAACAAGGACATTTAGATCATTTTCAGAACTACTTTCTGTTATATTATTTTTTGTGATTGCTCTCTTGAAGCTACCCTTTAAGGTAATGTGTGATTCTCCACCATTTTAAAGCTACCCAGGAGTGTGCATGCTAAAAAGTGCATTTAAGGAGTTGTCGATGGACATAGTTCTATATGAAACCAAGTTTTTATACATAAAAGGCCACATTTACTCTATATGGCTATATGAAAAATAATGAGTATACCATAGTGTAGTGGTCTTACGTTATTTTTCTGCTTCTTATGTCTTTGTAAATAACCCATCCCAAACTTAAAGTTGTTTCAGTGGAGTTTATAAAACTCCAAGGCTTAAAGGGAAGGTTGCTCATGTTCAGTGGGAATACTTTGGAAAGAGGATTGTGGCTTTAGCTAAGAAGCAGAGGTGCGTTCTAAGGAGTCCAGATTAATATACATGTCCATTATCAAAAACACACACATAGAAAACTTGCTAGAAGGAGTTTATTTGGGATAAAGAAAGGAAATTGAAGACATGGTACAAAGAATAATAACAGTTCTCTTATAGATATTCAAAGTAAATTATGATTCTCTTGTCTCTGTTTTTGAAGCTTAGCGGCAGCAAAGTGTATAGCGAATACCACTGAGGGTACAGCTCCCAGAGAGACGTTCTCCAATGTGACAGAGTCTTCTTCTGCAGTAGCAGGTAGTGTGCGTCTTTAGGCCTGGAGAAACAGGAGTAAGAATCAGACAATGAGTACTGGGTCACTGATGAGTTGTAAGCAGAGGTTCCTGGAGAAGTTACATGTTGGGTTGGATGAATGTGTCATGGTGCGTATCCTAGGGCCTGAAGCAGTGTTCATCCTCAATAGATAAATGTTAATAACTATAGATAGAATGTGTTGGTTCTACATGATGGAAGACAAACTCTGATATAACAAGTAGTAACATGATACTCAGGGGGTAATCACCAGTTTTGATTCTGCAGTAACATATGGCTCTTGTCTTAAGCTCTTAGGAAAGAGGAAACATGTCAGGCACAGCAAGCAAGGAGGGAAGGAACGTCAGAATAGAGTAATGGAGGTATGCTAAGAAGTCATGAGTCTACAATGATAGACATAATACCTATCCTATTACAATGGTCAGAATTTACATTTTTGTCATTAATTTACATTGAGTTTGGAAGAAATCTCACTAGCTATGTGTTGATCATGCCAGATCATAGTTTCCTCTATGTCAATCTTTTATTTACATGCTACTCCCATACCCTAGAATACACATGTAAAAGTACTATGGTGGAAACTTCAGACCACCTCGTCTAACTTCATCAGAGATAAGGAGGATAGTTGTCTGGCTAAACACATCACCAGTCTTGATTCCTATGAGAGGAAGGTCAGACATATCTCCACTTGCTAACCTCCTTACCAATTCTGACACAAACCTTCCCTCACATGGCATTCTCTGCCTCTCTGTTGAGTTCACTAATGGCCACAGAGAACTCACAGACAATCCTCCCTTTTATGGAATTTATTAGGAAAATAACATATTACAACTTAGGATAAGAAAGAACTCAGGATCCAGTTCTTTGATCAGGAGAGTCTCTTCTCAGTCATGCCCACAGACATGTCTCTGCATGGTCCTGCAGTCTCTCAGCCTAATCTCTGCCAGTTCTGGTAAGTGTTACAAAGTTCTTTTAGCTCTAGTGTTAAGTGCCCAGGGGTACCACACTCCACAGTAAGCCCTAACCTAAAGGCGCCCAGCTCTACCTGTATGGGACCAAGAACCTAACTCAATCAAGAACTGAGAGGCAGCCTACTGTGCTCCTGGAAGACTACTGTGTCATCCTTTACCAGTCTGTTGATTCTGCTGTCACTGCTTCCTGTCATCTCTTATCTCTGATGTTACAGTTCCCTCACTGTCTCTGTCTCCTGGATCCAGCAGGATCTCAGCACAGGGATCCTGGGTCCAAAGGATGGGCTACACTCTCATTTCTTCTTTCTTGGTGGTAGTGATTGCCCCCCTTTCTGCCTCTGGGATGGCCACTTTTAAGCCTAGCAGGATCACGAACTGAACAATCGCTCTGTTAACGTTCTACATCTTATTTGGAGAGTCTCACCAATTGTTTTGGTGGAAATTACAAGATCATGACTAGAAAGACTATATAAATCCATCCATCACACTGCAACACAAAACAGCTAAGTTCTCATTTTGACTCTATGTCACACTCTCATTTCAAGCACAACTTGTTTCATCTCTGTAGCTGAGGATGCTGACTTCCACTCACATAAGTTATGCAACCAAACCCTTTGGTGCTGAAAGTTCTCCTGAAAACCTCTAGCTTCAGTGTCTTTGTTTTCTAATGAGCCTATGCTAGTGTGAGGCACAACTGGAGGTGGAATCCCCTAGTCACACTGATCTCACCTGGAGCATCCGGGGCTGAGCGTTTGTCTCCTGCATAGGAGATTGCTATGTCCTGGTCCTCTGCTCCAGGCTCATCCTGGGCTGGAATTTCATCATCTGTCTGTCTGAGTGGCTCAGCCTGGACCTGGAGGGCCAGCAGGAGAATGGCAGCAAGGAGGGTGAGAGTTCTCATAGCTGTGGGTCACCTGGAGGTCAGTGTCCTGTATGGAGGAGCAGAAGCCTTGGTGTGCTGGAGAGTGAGGAGAGTCAGCCAGTATTTATATATCTGTTAGGAGAAGGCTCAGACATGAACAATCCAGTTAGGGAAGGTGTGTATTTGTTCTGGGGATAGTGCTTGAGGGCTGCCTGTTGTGTTCAAAGTTCCTTCGATGTTATTTTGTTCTAGCAGCTTAATTGCCAACAAAGTTCTATAAGTGCAGTGTTTGTACTTGCTGCACATTAGCAATGATGATAAGGACCTGGTACATTTTCCTGTTCTCCATCTGCTTGAATATTTACTTCTTTATATTCAAAATGGAAGATAAATAGTACTTTCATTTAATAATTCTGGGAAAAAATGCCTTTTGATTTCTGAAAATTGTCCTAGCTACGTGTCTAGACCCTTAGACCAGACTAGATCCCAATGGGTTACCATGTTAATTCACTTCAGGACTCAATATTGACTAAACCTGACCTGAAGGAGGCTTTTAATGTCATAGGGAGATTAGGTCTTACCAGAACTGGTGTGGAGAGGACAGTAACATTTACCAAGATTCTGGTAAAATGAACTTCAGATTCAGGGCCAGTAGGATATTAGGTAATGCTCTAATCAGATTAAAGCCAAAAGTTAGACAAACAAAGCATGTATACTAGTTTCATCTCTCCACTTTGAGAATTGTCAAAGGGACAGATATATACACCACCTCATTCTGAGTCAACTAATGACAAACTTGCATCCCATTGTATATCAAGCAATTGTATAGAGCTCTCTAACTCTTTGAAAGAGATTTATAGTATTTCAGTTTTTCTATGTGTCATAAATCAACTATTTTCTGTAGACTTATTAACTATATTTCTTATTAATAAAATACCATTAAATTCATAAAATTAATTTATTTTGAAACTTTTGCATTTACAAGGAAAACTGAAATGACTATCATTTCACATGATTTTTTATACTGATAAGTGATTATATATTTGAGATAAATTCTCAGAAGAAGTACATGAGCTGAATCAAGGAATATGTCTTTTACATTTTAAAGGTGTTACCACATTTCCCTCCACAGAGGCTGTACAATAGCAGTCACAAAAATATATACATCTTCCTACTCTCCCCTCAAATGTTGATGGAAAGTATTTTAGAAGGTGCTGTTACTAACCAATTTCCATCATACATTCTTCCTACCTATGTTCAGGGCAGCAATGTGCTCCACTAAAAGTAATGGTGTATAGCTCTGTGGGATACATAAAGAGAGCTCTCTGACTACTAAACTGTAATACATAGGGAGAGTATCCTTTCTAAATAATAATAACAATATTTATTATATTATTGGTTGATGTTTTATGCCTTATTTCTGCTGGGATCATGGAAGTAGTTGGATTTGCACTCACTCACTTTTGTCCATGAGAAAAACAGTTGCTAAATATGGAAGGTGCAGCTGTTTGCCTGGTTACAAAGGAGGCCATTGTTGGACAGCTTCCCTCACTCCCTGGATTGCCCACAGCTGGATTTTGATCTGGTAAATACAAGCTCTTTGTCTTTTTAAGCCTTTTTTGTTGTTGTTGGATTTTCTTGTTTTTGTAGCTGAAAACAATCTGGTACATGTGTTACAAATCTCGTTGATCTTTTCCAATCTGATAGGTAAAAATTGGTATTGCAGTGTGGTTATTATGGCATGGCATTATGAATTAGTCTCAACATGGTTAAATGTCTAATATGCATTTCTATTTTTTTTTTCAGAAATTTCCTTTCATATTTTTACCCCCCACCTTTTTTTCCCCAAAAGGCATTCTTTGTTGTTTTTATTTTATTATTATTTTTAAATTACTTTATAGACTCTCTTCATTAATTCAAGAAATATGCTGTTTATCATATACATTGCAAATACTTTTCAAAGTTTGTCTTTTGTCTTTTCACTTTTTAACTTGTGCTATGAGGAAAGTCCACCAGCCACTCTGTAGAAGAAAGATGGGCAATCTACTTCTACATAGATTTACCACCTCAGAAACTCAAATGGGGATTGCTATGAGTTGGAGTGGACTCAGTGGCAGTAAGTTTGTTTTTTGGGGGTTTTATGTGGGAAATTTAGACATTTATGTAGCCTTTAAATGTTTATCCTGACCTCTGATTTTTGTCTTTCCTACTTAATTTTTTAAAATAAGTCTTCCATGTGTTAGTGCTTTTTTGGCATGAAATTGACTCCTGTCTTTCTTTTGCACTGACTCAGAGCTGTTTATTGTACCTACGCCACCCTTTCAGAGGAAGCAAGACTTACCTTATAATCTAGAAATCCTAACCGACAAAGATGACTTGGCTACAAGAATGTGGATCACTTCAGTAGCACTAAAGAGCTGGTGCTTTTATCCCCACAAGTAAATGCCTATCTTTTGGGGAAAAAAAAAATTCTGATTCTATTAAACAGTAGATACCTGCCTTAAACATAACTACATAGTGGATGTCAAATATTGAAGCAGATGTGGAATAGGGAAGGTTATCATGATTCCTATCATTTTGACATATGAATGATACACGCAGATACTCGTCAAGTAGATAGGAAACATGGCTATTGTTGAAGCTCCTAGATTAGAGGAACATCAAAGTGATTTGGGAACAACCAGGGAACTCTGTGGTTTATTCTCCCCTCTCACTCACTCTTCTGTGGAACAATCTTGCCCCAAACATAAAATCACACAAAAATGCTGCATTGTAAAAACAGAGGTCCATTTCCAATGAAATGTCCAGCAACTCTATTCTTGCACCAACTAACTTGTACACTGTTAGGGATATTGTCTTTCCCAACTCAGAGATAATCAGGACCCTGTTTCACCCAAAGGGTGACAAGCCCCAAGATGAGACTTGGTTTTGAGGGCTTCTTTCTTCTCACAAGATCATGGATCCTGGACACTTTGATGGGCCAGTACTCTTGGGTGTAGTATACTTTGAACGATCAATTTGTGGACAAGTTGATAATAAAATCAGTCATCACTCATGAAATATCTTCATGAGAAGGATTGCCAATGAGAATTTTGGATGGGAATGTCTTTTTCTCAGCTACTTGAAGAATGAAAAAACAAAACAAAACAAAAACTTCATATCTCTGGGGTTTCACATAAAATTCTAGGGCAAGGATGCAATAACCAAGTGTCTCTTGAATGTTTTCTATTGTAAGATGTTGGGCTCAGAATACAAATAACCCTGTTCCTTTACATAGGTTTGTTGTTGTTAGGGCCTTTGAGGCTATTCTGATTTATAGTGACCAGTATTGTCCAGTATTCACACACATATGCATTAACTGAAAATATCGTGGCTTGTGTCAGGCGTAACTTAGAGTTCAAAGTGACGTCTTTGCTTTTAATGCCTTAAAGTGGTCTTTTGCAACAGATTTGCCCATTTATATACATCTCTGTTGTATCCATGGGCATTGATTGTGGATCCAAATAAAATGAAATCACTGACTACTTCAATCTCTTCTCCATTTATCAAAATGATGCTTATTGGTTGTAAGGATTTTTGTTTTATATTGAGGAGTAATCCGTCCTGAAAATTGTAGTTTTTGAACTTCATAAGTAAGTGGCTCAAGTCTTCTTCACTTTCAATAAGCAAGGTTGTGTCATTTTCATATTTCAGATTGTAAATGAAATGTGATCTTATCATGATGCTGCATTCTTCTTCACATAGTCCTGTGTCTTAGATTATTTGTTCTACATACAGATTGAAAAAGTCTGCTGAACAGATACAACCCTGATGCAAAGCTTACCTGGTTTAAAACCAAGCAGTATCCCCTTATTCAGTTCAAAGTACTGCCTCTTGGTCTTTATTACATAGGCTAATAAACTTAATAAATACAAAAGAGTGTAAATTAATGGTTAAGGGTATGGGATTTGGCTCTGTTGCTTAATCTTTTGTGATTCTGAATAAGGTACTTAACCTCTCAAAAGTTCATTTCCCCATCTGAATAAAAAATGGTTAATAACAATATCTTCTAAATAGAGTCACTATACTCCTCTGTCAGTTTGCTGTACTGTGGTGGCTTGCTTATTGCCATGAGGCTGGTGGCTCTGTCACTGGAATTTCAAATACTAGCAGGGTCACCCATGGTGGACAGGTTTCAGTGGAGCTGCTAGACTAAGACAGACTTGGAAGATGGAATGGGCTATCCATGTCTCAAAGAACTGGCTATTGAAAATCTTATGAATAGCATTGAAACACTGTCTGATACATTACTGGAAAACTTTATGAATAGCCCCGAAACATTGTCTGATATAAGGATGGAGAATGAGCCCCTTTTGAGTGTCAGAAGGCACTCAAAATACGAATGAGGGAGAGCTGTCTCCTCAAAGTCGTATTGACCTTCATGATGTAGACGGTGTAAAGCTTTTGTTACCTCCATTTCCTGATGTGGCATGAATTAAAATGGGAAGAAACAGCTAAGTACATTAATAATCAGAACATAGAATGTTCAAGTATGACTCTAGGAAAAATGGAAGTTGTCAAAATCAAAATGGAATGCAGAATGATTGATATCTTAGGCTTTAGGGAGCTGACATGGGCTGGTCTTGGCCATTTTGAATCAGACAACCATATGATCTACTATGACAAATCTAAGGGGAATGGTGTGGCATTTATACTCACAAAAATGTTTCAAGATCTAAGCTGGAGTACAGTGCTGTCAGTGATAGAATAATATCCATACACCTACAAGGAAGACCAATTAATGCTACTATTATTCAAATTTATGCACCAACCATCAAAGTCAAAGACGAGGAAATTGAAGATTTTTACCAACCTCTGCAGCCTGAAATTGACCAAACATGTAATCAAGATGTGTTGATTATTACTGGTGATAGGAATGAGAAAATAGGAGACAGAGTCACTGGTAATTGGAAAATATGGCCTTTGTGATAGAAATGACACTGGAGATCACATGATAGAATTTTGCAAGACCAATGACTTATTCATTGCAAATATGTTTT